ATGGCGATCTCGGCGAAGAGCTTCGGTGCGAGGAAGGCGCCCATGTAGGTGAGTCTGATTGGAACATCGCTGGTGTTGTCGATGAACCGCAATGCTCTCAATGGCTCCACTTCGCAGCGGGCAAAGAAGACCAGCTTAGCCGGCGCAATCCCAACGGCTCCAACAGAGGAATAGTGAGCACCAGCACGAAGGTGGCGCTGCTCCTCAGAACGGCCTGGGTCGGGAAGCACGGCGGAAGCGAGATGATCGAACTTCTGCATGTCTTCTAAGCTGCGGCCTTCTTGCATAATCCTCATCCGAAACTGATCATCACCTTCGAAGCGCTCGGAGACTGACGAGAAATTCATCTCTGCCGAGCGTTGCTTGCGATCCTTTGCATCTCTGATGACAGCTGCTTCGGCACTCATGTGGCCTCTCTTTTTGGAACCACCATCGCCCATTCCACGGAGGTCGCCGGTAAGAAGATCCTCGATGGGCTTCTGGGCTCCAGCAGCAGCTGTTGCAAGGGGCGAAGTCGAGAGTTCTCGTAGAACTTCTTGGTGACCTTTGCAGAATCGTTTGTCTGCGGCGCCTTGCAGCGGAGGCAGAAGAGCATCCCGTTGGCAACCACGCAGAGCAAGCCGCGCATGGGTGTGAGCCAAGTGGGAATGCCTCTTCCTCTCCTGCATCAGTCATGTCGCCTTCCTCTTCAGGGATGGATCCAGCAGAATCGGCAGGCTCACCATTGCGGGTGGCTAAACCCGCCGCCATGGTCACGTCATCTCCAATGATCTCGGTGACCTCGGGCTTGGGTGCCACCTTCGGCATTTTCTTGGAAGGCCACTGCCTTTGGCGCAATTGCAGCCTGTTTTGGCGGTGGTGCCGATGATGAGCTTGCCGCTTCCTCGTAGTCGCGCTTAGCACGGAATATGTGCCCTGGCTCACCCTCGCGAGTGGCTTCTTTATTGTCCGCGACATAGAGAGGAAGATCATTCTTGCTGGTGTCAACGGCGGTGACGATGCAGTCCGAGGGAATGCAATCTCGCGTGAGGACACCATCTGTCTCGGTCACGAAGAATACGCAACCGGCGCCAATGGCACGCTGCGTGTCCACCACAAGCTCAATAGGCTGATTCGACCGCATACCACATTTGTACTGCGTGTCGTTCAGGCGATATGGGGAGAGGCAGTTGTGCGATCGGTTTGACCGAGCCGAACCTGGTACCATCCCATCGCGAAGGACCCCATTCATGCCTCGCTCATTAGTCCGATGGTAGAGCTTGGCCGGGGTGTCATCCTTCGGGAGCACAGTGACGCCACGAACGCTGCTTTGGATCTCCGCTTCCTCCTTCGTGAGTCCGCTGTAGAATCTCGTAGCCAAGAAGAAGTCTGCGTCAGGGTTGTTCCCGACGAGCTTTTCATTGTGGCCCTGAGAAATTCGGATTCTCACAGGGAAGAGCGGCTGGTTGATCGTGTCCTTCATCGGGGCGTCGATTCCGAGCAGCCGAATCCGTCCTTTGTTGTCCGCCTTTGCTGCTCGAAGCAGCTGGCGGATTCCCCATCTGGTGCCTCTGCAGTTGTTGAAGGTTTCCAAGACTGCGTCGACATCGGTCCAGCATCCACGGTCAAAGACCAAAGGGAAATTGTCCAGTTCGTGCCCCCGGAAAAGTTTGGTGACGAATTTGAGGTCGCCGTGCTTGAAGCAAACGGCCTTGTCCCCGACGATGTCTTGGGGGTTGAAGGGCTTCATCACATGTTCGACCCCATTGTGGAAGTACTCGTTCGGCAACCTCTCAGGCACAGTGGCAGCCCCTTGCGGGGCGCTTTCATCAATGAACATATGCCTTCGAAGGGCATCTTCATCGCGATCGGACTTCCTTTTCGGCTTTGGCGCGAGAGGTTCGATCACGCGGCCCATTGACGAAGGGATGGGTTTCTGGTAGTCTGGTAGTCCCCATCGTCCACGAGAGCCACTGTGCCCGGAGGGTCATAGGACACCTTTCCGTCTTCATCCTGGGTAACAACATCATTGACGCAGTCGGCAATCGAACTGACGTCCGTGTTGGCACCGAACTGTGGCACATCCTTGCGGATGGCTTTATCCATGGGTGGACCGGTGGTGTGCGTTGTGATGTCCGCAGCATTGGCAGCATCTGGGGCCTCGCAAAGTCGGCAACCGGCATCGGCTTCGAGGGCTTGGGATTGGCCAGCTGTTCCTTTTCTTCGCGCCACTTTCTGAACACATCCTGGAGGACAGGGTTCTCGGGCTGGTCTCCACGCTCCACGTGCTCATACCTTGTGAGGAGCCGCTCACGCATGGGTTGAGCTTCTGAGCGATCCATTCGGCTTTGCTCAAGTTCAGAGTGGCGTGGAGATACGATTGGAAGAGGTCCCTGTTCCGCTGGTCCTCCGATGCATGAAACGAATCATACATTTCGAGTTTCTCGACCAATGGCGAAGCGGACTGTGTTTGCAAGTTCCTTGTGCGGAACTCCTCAAACATCGCCTGATTGAAGGTGTTGTAGGCGGAATGCAACTGCAAGAGGTCAGCTTCCACCAATCCAATCACGTTCACAAAACCGATGTCTGGCTCGCCCGCGAGGGCGGCTAACACACCCGCAGAGCGCCTCACCTCTCTGTCAACCGTCTCCGTCGTCACGTTGGCATCGCGGTAGGGCAAGCCCGGGAAAGCCGGGTAGGGATGCAGCCCCACTGACCGGAGATCTCATTGCCACACCACCAACAAATCACATCGATGAGGTGGTCGGGGAAATTGGCACGAAGTTCTCGAATGTGTTCTTCGACCTGCCACACAATCCACGCAAGGGTTTTCCCCCAGCACATGGTATAGCGCGGTTGATTCCAACCCAACATGAAGCTAGCAAGGTTCACTTCATGATCCAAGTCGGCTTTCAGGAAAAGGCCGCGCCGATTCTTTTTGCACAGGGCCGTGCTCGAATCGGACACCAGAACCAGTGCTCGCTTCAACTTAGGGCTCAACCTTGCGGTTGGCTTCAGCTTGGCCATACCATCATCGCTCAGATCGGCCAACTGCCTCAGGAAAGCACAGCTTGCATCGGCATGGGTGAGCGAGACTCCTGCAGCGCTGCCATCCGGAGCTGCTGCTACCGAAACCTTGTTGGGAACCTCGACCTTCGACTCGGGTTTGCACCCGGCTATGTTCGCGCTGGTTGTATGTCCAATGAGCTTCAGAGCATGCATCCACTTATTCTTTTCGGTGAAAGGCTTCGTGAAGACGTCTGCCACTTGTTCGGCTGTACCGACGTTCAACAGCTTGAAATGTCCATTCTCATATTGCTGCTTCAACCAAGAGAAACTTACTCTCTGAGTCCGGTCTGTATGTCGTAGAACACCAGCTTGCCCTAGCAACAGTAAAGTAATAGTCGCTTGGTTATCCTCCATGTGCCTAACCTCAAAGCTTTCGGGAAGTTGGACACAGAGGCCGTTGATGTCAGCTATCGACAACCCGTCCGGTCTTGTAGACCCATAACGAATTTCATCGAGTTGGGGTCAATACGTGCAACAATGGAATCCCCTTTCTCAGCCCTAGGCTCGGCCTTGCGGCCGGCATCTCC